CGAGATACTTCAACTCCTCCACTTGAGGTAGGACCTCTCTCCTGACCCAGAGTTGGCAAGCCACCCTTTCCCAGTCGAGAACCATGGTCTCAGATTTGGAGGTGCTGATCCTCATCCCAGCCGCTTCACACTCAGCTGCGAACCTACCCAGCAAGAGCTGAAGGTCAGAGCTAGATGAAGCTAGGAGGACTACATCATCCGCAAAAAGCAGAGACGAGATTCTCCTGCCACCAAACTCGACACACTCCAAACCACGGCTGCATCTAGAAATTCTGTCCATAAAGGTAATGAACAGAACCAGTGACAAAGGGCAGCCCTGGTGGAGTCCAAACCTCACCGGGAACAGGTCCGACTTACTACTGGCTATGCGGACCAAACTCATGCTCCTGTGGTAAAGGGACTGACTGGCCCTTTACAGAAAGCCACCCACCCCATACTCCTGGAGTGTCCCCCACAGGGTGCCCCTGGGGACACGGTCATAAGCCTTCTCCAAATCCACAAAACACATGTGGATTGGTGGGGCAAACTCCCATGCCCCCTTCATCACACTTGCAAGGGTATAGAGCTGGTCCACAGTTCCACGGAAAGGACGAAAACCACATTGCTCCTCCTCAATCTGAGATTCAACTATTGATAGGACCCTCCTCTCCAGTACCTTGGAGTAGCCCTTTCCAAGGAAGCTGAGGAGTGTGATCCCCCTATAGTTGGAACACACCCTCAGGTCACCCTTCTTAAAGATGGGGACCACCACCCCGGTCTGCCACTCCACAGGAACTGGCCACGATGACCATGCAATGTTGCAGAGACGTGTCAACCACAACAGCCCTACCACATCCATCCTTGAGATGCCCAGGACGACTCTCATCCGCCCCCGGGGCTCCGCCGCTGTGTAGTTGTTTGACTACCTCAGCAACTTCTGCCCCCGAGATTGGACAGTCCATCCCCAGGTCTGCCGGCTCTGGTTCTTCCTCGGAATGCTCATAGGTGGGATTGAGGACCTCCTCAAAGTATTCCTACCACCGTCCGACTATAGCCCCAGTTGACGTCAGCAGCTCCCCATCCCCACTGTAAACAGTGTGAACGAGTTGCTGCCTTCCTCTCCTGAGGCACCGGACAATTTGCCAGAACCTCTTTGGAGCCGATCGATAGTCTTTCTCCATGGCCTCACCAAACTCCTTCCATGCCTGAGATTTTGCCTCGGCAACTGCCACTGCTGCACCCCGCTTGGCTATCCGGTACCTGTCTGCTGCCTCCGGAGACCCACAGACCAGCCACGCCCTGTAGGCCAACTTCTTCAGCCTGACGGCTCCCCGAACCTCTGGTGTCCACCAGCGCGTACGGGGGTTGCCACCACGTCTGGCACCGGCCAACTTGCGACCACAGCTAGCAACAGCCGCCTCAACAATCACAGAGTGGAACAAGGCCCACTCGGAGTCAATGTCCCCCGCTGCTCTCGGGACGCGGTCAAAGCTCTGCCGGAGGTGGGAGTTGAAGACCGTCTTGACAGGTTCTTCTGCCAGGCATTCCCAGCAGACCCTCACTATGCGTTTGGGTTTGCCAGGTCTACGTGGCATCTTCCCCTGCCATCTGTTCAACCTCACCACCAGGTGGTGATCAGTTGACAGCTCCGCTCCTATCTTCACTCGGGTGTCCAAAACATATGGCCGCAGGTCAGATGACACGACTACAAAGTCTATCATCGACCTGCGACCTAGGCTGCCCTGGTACCAAGTGTACCGATGGGCATCCTTATGTTCATGGTGTTCGTTATGGCCAAACTGCGGCTTGCACAGAAGTCCAATAACGAAACACCACTCGAGTTCAGATCAGGCGGGCCGTTCCTCCCAATCACACCCCTCCAGGTCAAGCTGTCATTGCCCACGTGAGCATTGAAGTGCCCCATCAGGACAATGGAGTCCCCTGATGGAGCACTATCTAGCACTCATCCCAGGGACACCAAAAAGTGTGGGTACTCTGAACTGATATTTGGCCCATAAGCAAAAACAACAGTCATGACCCGTTCCCCGACCCGAAGGCGCAGGGAAGCTACCCTCTCGTCCCCCGGGGTAAACCCCAACACACAGGCAGAGAGTCTTGGGGCTAGCAAAAAGCCAACCCCAGCCCTCCGCCTCTCACCGGAGCAACTCCAGCAAAGGAGAGTGTCCAACCCCTCTCAAGGACTTGGGTTCCAGAGCCAATGCTATGTGTCGAGGTGAGTCCGACTATATGTAGCCAGTACCGCTCAACCTCTGCCACAAGCTCCTGCTCCTTCCCCGCCAGCGAGGTGACGTTCCATGTCCCAAAAAACAGTTTCCTTGTCTGGGGATCAGACCGAGTCTCCCGCCTTGGTCTGCCACCCGATCCACACTGCACCGGACCCTTCATGTTCCTCCTGCGGGTGGTGGGTCCACAGTTGGATGAGCCCATGCATCCGGTTCGGGCTGTGCCCGGCCGGGCCCCATGGGCAAAAGCCCGGCCACCAGGCGCTCGCCCACGGGCC